TGGAGCGGGGTGGCAGCTCCTCCTGGGCGAGGTGTGCTCCGGGGGTCGCTCGGGCCGCGGGAGCAGGAGCTGCAGGAGGGAGCTGGCAGGTTGGGCGGTGTTACAGAGGGTGAACAAGAGATACAGTAGTGTTGGAGGCTTTGCCAGAGGGACTAGGGCCCCGTGGCGCTGACCTCCAGAGGCTACTGGAGAAAGAGCTTCAACAGCCAACTGACAGCACCTTGGAGAAGGACGTGACCCATAGGAACAGGGTATCACTTCACACCCCGTCCTTGTGTGTACCAACCAGCAACAGACATAAAACCTTGGCAGTGGACAAAACCCATGAGCAAGATTCACAGAGCGAAGCCGCACCAGCAGCACATAGTGAAAGCTGCAAAAGGACACGCAAGTGCTAGTAATCTGTGAATCCTGAGAGGCATCAAGGCACCGATCTGCTGGTCTGGTATACAGTCAAGGGAGGTTTGCTGCTTGCCAGCAGCCAGGATCTGGGATGTCAGAGGGACATTACTGCCACAGCTAATTAAAAGCACAAACTACTGTCATCTGCTTCATTTCCGTGTGGGCACCAATGACATGATAAAGCGAAACCTGGGCAAGATCAAGCAGGACTTTGGAGCCTTGAGGCGCAAGGAGAAGGTACAGGTGTGCAAGTGATTTCCTTCTCTGTCTTGCTAGTCAGAGATAGGGGTGCAGGCAGAAGTCAACACATCATGCAGGTCAGTACCTGACTTTGTGGCTGATGTTGGTCCAGGGTTTTTGTTTCAGTGATCACGGGGAGATTTTTGATGAATACAGCCTATTGGGGAGAGATAGGATCCACCTACCGAGAAGAGGCAGGAGAATCTTTGCTAGCAGATTGGCTGACTTCATGAATCATGCTTTAAACTAATGAAGCTGGGGTGGCAATGTCCAAAACTGTGACACCTGCATATTCATAAGCAACGGGGTAGATGAGTGCACCTATGAGAGTAATTAGGAATGCTCACCAAAGGCAAGAATCCTAAGTTCAGCCACTTCGAGTGCTTGTTTACCAACACAAGTAGTCTGGGCAACAAAAAGGAGTAACTGGAGCTTCATGCCCAGTCTGAGAGTTATGCTGTTATAGGAACCACAGAAACATGGTGGGAATACTCACATGACTGGAAGACCACAGCGGATGGCTACAAGCTCTTGCAGAAAGATAGGAAAGGAAGAAGATGGGATAGAATTGCACTTCATGTGAAAGATAAATTTGAATGTATGGAGCTGAGCTATGGAGACCATGAAAGTCCTATCGAATGCCTTTGGATCAAGGTTAGAGGGATTGTCACCGAGGGACACCTTATGTCAGATATCTGTTACCAACCTCCCAGTCAGGATGATGAGGCTGACGTAACCTTACTGAAGCTGCTTAAGAAAGTCTCGGGCCAACTGAACCGTCTCCTCGTGGGTGACTTCAATTACATGGACACTTGGTGGGAAAGCAACACAGCAATGCATGAGTTGCCCATCAGTTTCCTGGAATGCATTGAGGACTGCTTCCTGCTGTAGATGTTGGACCTGCCAACTGGGAACAGTGCTGTGCTAGGTTTACTGCTCACAAACCAAGAAGACTTGCTTGACAGCATAACTGGATACATGGATACAAGACAACAACATTGTGGAGTTTTAAGATCCTGCTGGGCACACTGAAGACCAGTAGCAGGATAAAGACCCTGGGTTTTAAGAGCCAAATTCAATATGTTCAGAGCCCAGATAGAAGGGATTCCATGGGAAGCATGCATGGAGGGCAAAGGAGCTTGTGAGTGCTGGGAGTTACTCAAGAACAGCCTCCTGGAAGCAGAACAACAGTCCATTCCCTACTGAGAGAAAGGAAGAAGGCAGAACAAGCGACCACTCTGGCTTAACAATGAGCTTTTTGGTGTACTTAAACGCAAAAAAAGCAGCATACCAGCTATGGAAAGGCAACCAAATACCCATTGAGGACTACAAGAACCTTGCTTTGGAGGTTTTCGAGATGTGACTGGGTAGGGTGCTAGATAATCTCATCTAGGCTCCCTTTGCCATGAAAGATTGGACCACATGGTCTTTCGAGATCCCTTCCAACCCAGGCAATTCTGTGATTCTGTTTTATTTCATTTGTGACAAGGCTATTAAAGTGCTCTGAAGTGCAGTCTTTTAACTTTGTGATGCTATCTGTGAAACTGTTACGTAGCCGAAATACGTGATGCATTGTTTTTTTTTTCAATATATCCTCAAATTGTTGGTTCTTTTACTTTGTATTATACTAGTTAGAATTCATGCTGGGTGTTTGCTCAGAGAAAGACAGTAAATTAATGTTGATCTACTATTAAGGAGGAAAGAAAATTGACTTTAGGTGTTTATTACCTCAAATAAGTGTTTCCTGTAAATAACTGCAAATTGTACCTTTTTATTTTGCAGACACTATAAGAAGCGTTGTCAAGGCCGGATGCGGAAACATGTTGGTGACCTGTGTTTACAAGCTGGCATGTTACAAGATTCCTTGGTCCATTATCACATGGCAGTGGAACTTCTGCGGTCTGTGAATGACTTTCTGTGGCTTGGAGGTAGGATTAAGTGGTGATAGTGAATCAAATAATTAGTTGCTAAAACCAAGTAAATAGAACTATCTTCTATAACTTTCCTTCTGTATTGTGAAAAGTAGGAATGATTTTGGTGACCAAAATCTGAATACCAGGTATGACTAAGAATTAACTTGAAATAAAAATTAGTTAATAAGACATGAGAAAGAAATGTGTTCAAGACCACCTGCAACATAAAATATGTTACTGTAGTAAAGCATGTACTTAAAAAAACCTCCTGCATCTGACTTTTTAATGATTCTTTGGAAAGTGGTTGTGTTTTTTCAGTGGATTGTACAGATGTTTAAAAAATCTTTCCTGTGGGTATCTACTGTGGACTGTTAGGAAAACATTTTTGCCTTTACATCTACCAAAGCCACAAGTGTTTAACTTTCGCTGCCATAACTTCCTTCCTTTCACATTAAGTCCTAGGCTTCACTTTTTTCCCCTGCCTTTTCCTTCATCCTTTCCTTCTATTTTTTTCATTCCTG